CTCGAACCGCGGTCGACTACATGGGAGTCCAGTGACATAGCCATTATGCTAACTGCTGGCCCCACAGAGTTAAAGTCTTTAAGAGATTGAGACAATGTAAGAGAAAAAATTCTGTGCTATTCAGATATACTGATATATGTGTGTGTGTATGTGTGTGTGTGTGTGTGTGTGTGTGTGTGTGTGTGTTTATTTCCTCAGTGAGAGACACACAAAGAAAGAGAGACAAAGAGACAGGTACCCCTAACAGAGTCTTCATGCCACAATCTATCCCCAGTCTCAGGTAGTCTACATTATAGGCATGTGTGTGTGCACTCCTCAAAGACACACACACCCAGTGCCTACTGGGAGGCCCCAGCATCTTCTCAGTTGTGTTACCACTGTACCACCTCCTGGCCCCTAGTTTAAGACACTGGGTACGAGCCACTTCCCTTCATATTCTGAGACTCTTAATCACCTTTAGAACTTAGAAATAAACCCTATGTCTAAAGTCCTTAGACCTGTAACAAAGAGAAAGGGAGGGATATAGAGAGGAGTACTGGAGTAAATGTCTTAGGAGTCAGAGCTTACTATTTTTTTCTTTTTTTTTTTTTTTTAATTTTAGATGTTTGCCATAAGGCCCATGTGCTTGGCAGAGAGAGACAGAGAGAGAAACAAAGTCAGAGATCACCTCCCAGGGGACCATGGCCACACTACCATCCTTTCTCCTCCATTATCCTCTCTAGGTTTTTGGGCATGCATGCACACACACCTGGTATGTTTTTCAAGCTGCCAGGTTTGGGACTTGAACTATGGAATTGGCCGTGCAGGATCCAGTGCCTTAAGGACCATTCTACCAGCTAGCCCAACAAAGAACTGGCTATTAACATACCTAAATATTTATCATCTCCTTAAAGAATAAATATCTAGAAGGACCAGCACATGGCATAAGAGTTGCATCACTGAATTCCTATGTAGTCAACTACAGTTCAAATCCAGGATCCAGCAGCTTAAAACTCTATGCTAGGCACATGAGCTCGTATGCCCAAAATCCCAAGAGGAGAAGGGATTGTGGCATGGCTATTCCCTCTGGGGGTGATTTCTCACTTCCTGTCTCTCTGTCTTTGTCTCTCCAGCAAGCGCATGTGCCCTACAGCAAAAATATCTCTTAAGAAAAGAGAGAGAGAATAAATATCTAGAAAAAAAACTCTGCAGCTTGGGGTACGTAAACTTTTAAAATATGCAAAGTATAGAAGACAAAAATGACCATGTAAATAAAACATTTTTCTCATTTATGTATTCAAAAATATTTAATGAGTACCAACTATATGCTTGACACTGATCTAAACATAGGGTATACCACAGTAAACAAAAACTAGACGATTCCTACCTTATTTTTTTTCTCAAAAATTTAAAAGCCAAAATCCATTAACAAATACAATAATTATAAATGCCAAGAAGTAAATGCACTATATAATTTAATTCATTACTTAAAGTTACTAATTGCCAGCCAGAAAATAACGGGACTAATTTTTGTCTCTTTCTAGTAATATGGAAAAGAGTTCATTGAGCAAAATAAACATGGTAATAAAATAAATAGGGAATGCTTAGCCTTATTTTTAAAATTCTGATATATTTAGACCATTTAATTATATCAACTTAGGAAAAAAATGTTAATATTAAATTAACACTTCATGGGGACCAACAGATGGCATAATGGTTATGTCACTGGACTCCCAAATAGTTGACTGTGGTTTGAGTTTCAGACCCGGTAGCTTAAAACTCACACCAGGTACATGTGTGTGTGTACCCAAGATCCCAAGAAGAGAATGGAGGAGAAGAGACTGCAGCATGGCCATCCCTCCTGGAGGGGGGGCTGATTTCTCACCTTCTATCTCTCTGTCTCTTTCTGTGTCTCTGATGAGCACACAAGCCCTATAGCAAAAGTCTCCTAAAAAAAATTAACACTTTATGTATCTATATAGATATATTTATATTAGTTTAAGAAAAAGTAGGAAAAGATACTTAAATGTTTCCAGAAGGCACCTCCATAAGACAGGAGGGGGAGAAATGAGCCAGAGGTAAATATAGAATTTCTATTTTCATAATCTATAATTATTTAAAATGGAATCTTAATGACTTTTACATTTCTGTGTTTTATATACTCATCAAAAAATGGCTGACAAACATAGAACTTATAAAATAAAATAAGATAAACTATAGAAACACTGAAAATTTCTTTACTGAAACTAATAAACCAGTTATGGCCTAAAAATCAAATGATAGTGCAAGAAAATGCCTATAGGATTGGCTCAGTTGTGGTGCAGATGTAGCACAATATTCCGCAAAGTTGGAGACCATATGGAAGATCAGGGTTTAGTTCCTAGGTTGACCTATACATGCCAATCATGTGTGCATGCCCATGGTCCTGGATGGTTGGTAAATGAAACTAATAAACCAGTTATGGCCTAAAAATCAAATGATAGTGCAAGAAAATGCCTATAGGATTGGCTCAGTTGTGGTGCAGATGTAGCACAATATTCCGCAAAGTTGGAGACCATATGGAAGATCAGGGTTTAGTTCCTAGGTTGACCTATACATGCCAATCATGTGTGCATGCCCATGGTCCTGGATGGTTGGTAAAAGCTAGGTGGATCACATTGTGAGGCTCTTTCTAGGACATTTGTCTTTCTCTC